TATTGCAGAGTTATTTTTGTAAAGAATATATATGCTGAAAATTAGAGATTTTTAGATTTTCTGTATCTTTGTTTTCCAAATTTAATTATCTTCAAAGTAGAGACTGCTGAAAAAAAAAAACAAAGATATTGTTGAAAAGTGAGAAAAAGACGCACTGTGACTTAAGTGAGAGTTAGAATTGACCAAAAGTAATATACGCATAAATATTAAAAAAAAAAAATTTAACTATCAAGGACATAAAACATCTAACAATTCTGGAATGGGCGTTTGATTGTATTTAATCAAGACTGTCAAGTGAAGCTACAAAACTAAATGGAATAGTATATTACGTACCTAGGCCAGAAAGTGGGGCTATTACTGACCGCGCTATNAAAAAAATTATTTAACTATCAAGGACATAAAACATCTAACAATTCTGGAATGGGCGTTTGATTGTATTTAATCAAGACTGTCAAGTGAAGCTACAAAACTAAATGGAATAGTATATTACGTACCTAGGCCAGAAAGTGGGGCTATTACTGACCGCGCTATATTATCGATAATGCGCGGTCAAATGTAGCCCCACTTTTTGGCCGTGGTACGTATACTTTTCTTCCTTACACCTCCGCCGAAAGTTCGTCACCACTGTTTTAGTTTTGTTAAAAATGATAGTTTAAAGATCCAGTCAAAGATTTAGTGCATTATGCATTATTGTTGATCGATCGGTTGCTCGAACAATACCACTTAAATGCACGTAGATGAGTGTTCATGTGTATAGGTATTTCTATATATATACGCTCGCCGAGACTGTAGAATATTATATAGAATCAGATTGGGCCGAGGATTTGTGCAGGTTGGTCGTGCTGGCAAAACGAGAGGAAGAGAAATCCGTTTAAATTCGAATCATGGATCCTATAAAGATCATTTTAAAAATCCTAATGTTTATATCCGTAAGTGCAAAATAAATCAGGTTATTATCAATAACTATTATAATTGTGATAGGCATAATTCGATTAAATAAAAGATTTCATAGTTTATTTTTGTAATATGACATGTATATACTACATTTACATACTAAACAAATCATTAAAGTGAAAGTAACTGATCAAAAAACATTAATTTGGTAGTTTTAATTTTGTGTTGTGTACTATGTTCATATGAAATTAATAAATTTATATGTACATGTAAATTGTGCAAAAAAAAAAATATATATATATACATCCAATAATTTATGTAAATAAATATCCAACGATTTTCTGTGTTGTATAAACTATAAAGGTTATAACTCCGTTAGCCGTATATATGTATTGTATAACTACTGCTGCTTCTCGGTGCTGAATATATAACTATATATATCTGCGCACTTCGTTCTGCGCACATATGGCAGGACTGATATGAGGCTTTTTCTAGCTCAAAATCGGGTCAGATGGAACGAACTTTCGGCGGAGGTGTAAGGAAAAATAATTTTTTAAGCAACTTGTATGATACCAATGTCTTTGTTAATTAGAAACGTATTTAATTGTTTCGCTCTTTTAATGTGTTACTGTTAAAATTTTTAAGTACATCAAAAAATTGTACAAAATGTTTTGTTATTTTCTAAAAAAGATTTAATGTGTGAAGTTGAGTTCTAGAAAAAGATCCAGACCGTGAAAAATATTTTTCTTACTTTTATACGTTTTAAAATTATTTCCTTGTTATAGGATACATAATTAGTGATAGGAAGAGTAATTTTTATTACTTTTAAGAACACTCCTAGCTTTCCCTAAAAACAAGGTAGTGCGTTGAAGTCAATTCAATCCCAGTTAGCGTCTGGACGCATTATAAATAGCTAAGGAAATTTAGGTAACACTTGATAATAACCATTATTTTCTAAATTTTTTTGCAGTTTTACATCTTATGATGTAGTAGTTTACGATTTGAGGAAGAAAAAATATCTTAAAGTAAGAATAATATATTATACTTATAAGTGTACGTAACGAAAAGAGTTGGTGTTGACACTAAAAAACATTTACGTCAGAGAAAAAAAAGATGGCTTCAAAGAGAAAATGATGAATACTCCTTATAGCTTATAATTCTTCTTACAAGAAAAAAAAGTAAGGGTTCTATTTGAGTAAGAGTTTTCATCGATTTACATGTGATTTACAAAACTCATGGTGAAACAGGAAACGGGTTATTCTATTACTTGGTCACAAATGAGATAAATACTGCTCGGAATGAGTATAACAGCGACATTATTTTACCCCCTTGAAGCAAAGCTGTTCGTGAGAGATGTTTATAGTTATTCATTTTGTCTTTTTACCTGTTCTTTCAATCGAGTAGTGTCTATGTATGGGACTCTACGCCACTTATCGTTTGCTCGCGTTTGTTTATTTAAGTAAAATTGTTTTTGTTTAAGCAAACGTATTTTTATTACGACGTCAATTTGACGGTTTTAATAGCTCAAGGCTGTTGTTTTTCCATCATCGAAACAAAAAAATCAAACTTTGATAGTGGTTTTCACAGAAAATAATCAATAACATGGACAAGTCATTCCCAAAACAGGTCATCCATATTTGTACCTTCAGTAACTTTGGTTTTCGAAATAATTAATTTTCATCTTTAATTTTAGATGATAAGGTCTATGAAATTTACAAATTAAATTGTCTAACCATAAATTTCTGAATTAATTCTGAACATTCTTCAAATATATGGCACTTTTTTAAAAATCCTATTAAAATTTTTAATACAGTGATGTTGCAGTGACAAATGACAAAAAAATCAAATCGATTTTAGGACTTCATGCAGAGAGTAATCAATGACATAAGGACATGACATTCCAGAAACAGAGCATTCAGAGATTAAAGTTGTCGAAACTTATAGTTCGCTAATAAAACTTTTTAACGATATATTTAGTAAGAACAGTTTTTATCTATCTGTTATCTAAAAGAAGTTCTAGTGTATAATTTTTTTTATGGACATATTTGAAGAAAAAATTTTTTTTGACTGATTATAAAATTAAGAAATGTGTGATAG